TTATTTAAAAACAGCTCAGTTGCTCAAGCAGTTAGGTAATTACATCTTTGAAAAAAAAATTTCATTTGCCCGATGTAGATGGCTTGGGTGAAGTCTGTAGCAACACTCCCTTTGACCTAAACAGGACAAGGATTTCACTCTGTGCCTTTAACATGATGCATATACCCTAGCTGTGTCTCATGGCTTTGAGTTTACTTTTCCAGACTAAAGGAGTTCATCATGGTAAGACTAATTTGTCATTTTTCAATGTGGTGAAACAGATCTTGTTCCTTTTGTTTTGGGTAAATAAAGCACTGCCCTTAGTTACCACATTAAATGTACAGATGCTGATTAGCAGGCTAGTATTCCAAATGCATAAGGAGCTAGGAATATTTATAATTTTTGAAGATTTTGCAAGTGACATATCTCTGGTGGGGGCTGATTTGACTGTCAAAGCCAGTGAAAGACCTTGGATAGCAAAGTCTGTTTATTTTCCCAATGTCCTGTTACAGAAGTTGGTTCATACCAGTGATATTCTAATTTCCTTCCAAGTTGGCATTGTTTCTGCATGTGCTGTAACAATGGTATGAGCAGCTAGTTGACTTGCCGCGGCCTTATGCTATGGAGCATGGTCTTTGTTATTACTGAACATATTCCTCTTTCTTGTAAATTCAGCACTGGTGATAGGATTAGCCTTTTTTATTTTGGTGAAGGACACCGTCCTGTTCTTTTTGAGGGTTTTTCATTAGCTTGTGGAGACCTTTCACTCGACATAATTTCTTTCTGACATTAAGCAGCAAAAGACCAGTAACCATAGGTGTTAGATGAGCGGAGAGTAACAGAGTTCATAATGAGGAAAAAAAACTGTGAAGGTCCCTGTGTTGGATTGAGAAATGAGAGTTTCACAGAAAAACACTGCTGTTGATGTAGGTCATCTTTTGTTAATTTTTCTTTTTGTTTTTTACCCATCTGCTTGTTTTAATTTTTTTTAATGTTATTTTTGTTTGTTTTTTATGGTTTTATTGTGTCTTCTCACCCTCCCATTAACATGAAAATGTATAACTACTGACCTCACCAATTCTAATCCGTAAGTACTGATCGAAGTCATGCTTTTATAATCCCCAAGCAGCTACCCCACATTTTGTGTGTGCTTATATGTAGAACCTCCTCTATTTTAAAAATTTCTAACTTTCTCAGTAGACACTAATACTGATGCTACCCAAATAGTCTGAAGGGTTTGGAGGAGCTGTTCCCATTAATTTTAAAGGGAAAAGGCTAGCCCAGTCTCTCATGTTACTTAAATAATCTCAAGCCAAAGTGCTGAACATTAAGAAGGTAAAGCTGAAATGAATCAGTTCTTTAAACATTTCCTTGTTTTCTCGTAGCAGATGTCGTTTGTTGAAAAGAGGTCCAAGAGTGCTGCCTCTAATTTGATAATCTAATACAAAATGAATTGATTCAGGCGAACATTTTGCATATTAAGAGATAATTAGGCTGTCATAATACAAAGTAAATCATATTGGATTTTTCTGGTCTGTTGTCATCAGATGAAACTCGTAGTGTGCATCTCCATATTTTAAAACACTTTAAAGATTTTCACCCAGGCTTCATTCTTAAGTTCATGCCGTGCTGGTGAGAGAAGATTCTGGGTTTCCTTTGGAGTGCATGATAACTTTTGTTTCCTGGAGACTGCACATGCTGAGTTGGTCTGGATGAAGTTTACTATTTATAATAAACTCAGACCTGCTTTAGTCACTACTGAACAGTGAATTAGTACACGCAGCATAGACGGTCCAGTGATAGATGCATTTGTTTATTTGCTGTAAATTCCTTTGACTCTACAATTTTTTTACAAGGGAATAGGAGATATTTTTAAATGTAGTACATTTCAAATTAGTACGACTGCACTGAACTTTCCTTTTATTCTTACTCAAAAGGGAAGGGAACCCATGCACTGAACTCTTCATTAATGATCAGCTAAGATATTGTCAAATACTGCTTGCTATATGTGCTTGCATTCTCTTTGTTTAAGAATTTGAAGAGTGCAATTCTAATAAAATCCAGGGTTTTGTGTGGGGTCTGCTTATATTTGATTCTAAGACATTAATAAGGGGAAGGGTTTAGTTTGCTGCAATTTGGAACAAGAAAGGCAAAGAACAGCACATACACTTCAAAACTGATGGTTATACTCTATAAAATGTTGCCAAAGTAAGGAAAACCATGACATTGATAGAGGTTGTAACATAGCTAAGTTCCCCTGATTGCCATCTAGATGCAGCTGCTTTGGCAGCACAGAGCAAGTCCTCCGAGGATATCATCAAGTCCTCCAAGTTCCCAGCAGCCCATGCGCCAGCACCCAACGAGATACCAAAGATTGAGACGGACCACTGGCCAGGTCCTCCCTCCCTTGCGGCCATAGGTATGCAAAAAGAGGAATTATCTAAGTGATGTGGATTTAAGAGTTACAACTAAATGACTCAGACTTGTCTTGAAACTGTAATCTCTTGGGGTCAGGAAATCTGTCTGCCTGTGTTTGTTCACCATCTAGTACAATGAGGCCTCGGTCCAATTTGATCTCTGGACACTCCTGTACCACAAGTGTTTAATCAAGGAAAAAGGTTTGACAAAAGAGCATTGACACTGTTAACACAGATGTTAATCTAGAGAGGAAATGCATACATTTCCTGTACAAATGCTTATGGACAGAGTGACTTCTTGAAAATACCACAGAAGCCTGACTTCTTTCAGTTATTATTTATTTCATCTTCAAATTGTATGTTAGCAGCAGAGATATAGCAGCAGATGTAATTTCTTGGACCACTTTTTCGGTGGCATGGAGCACTGTGGTCTAGTTCAGGCCACATCAAGGCGTGTTTTCTGTCTACCCCATTACCACAGAATATATATATATATTTGTTTTCTTCCACAGTGTTGTCTTGGGTGTCTCATAGATCGTGTTTTCTTTGAACCACATACACAATCCTATTTTGTTTTAGTATTGTATCTGTTGTCTTATCTGTGCCTGTGCTGAGTCCCATCAGAAGAGATGTGCACGCCTAACTTAAATGTTCCAGGGATGAACAGACACTTGAATGCAATTATGTCATGAAATCATCTCCCCAGCACCGTGGGTCCTCAGCCGTTGCTTCTGTTTTCTGTTGAAGAACTTAACACTTGTCATATGATAGTACATTCAGTGTAACAATTTGGAGACCTCTGCCAGGGTTTAGAAGCTCCTTGGTGGACAATGAGGCGAGCTATGTGAATCAGAGGACATCAGCTGTCTGGCAATGTCCCCTGAATTCTAGCTGAAACTTCACAACCCTGAAAATCAAATTGGTAACTCCTGGGTGTATTCAATTTTCCTGATAATACTAGTGGTAACAACACCCCAATAAATTATCTCACAGTGGGAAGGTCCATGATCCCCCAGTCAACAGCCTCCTGGCAGTGGACTGCACTGTAATGCTGCTGTGTTTTGTATGGTGGCTCTCAAGTTGCTTCATTTTTCTTAACAATGTAGTCATGGCATTGCACACTGTAGTGGCCAAAATGCCCCTGAAGCTATTTTATATTCAGGAATAAGTATGACCTTTACTTATTAATGTGCATGGTTAAAAATCAAATGCATTAGGCCAAAGCATTTAGATTGGTCACCTGATTTCAGTGAGGACCCTGCTACATGTTCAAATTAAAGCTGGATAGAAACCAGCTATAGAGTTATTGCACTGTTTCCAAGCACTAACTTTATAGCTGGTTAACTCTTTTTATAGCAGGATAGTCATTTTTACCATGCGGTAATTACTTTTCATATGTGGCTGGTCTAAATATATTGCACCAGTTAATTGTGTGATAACGACTTTGCACATGTGACTGGTCTAAATTTAGTGGTTAATCTGGTTGTGTGATTAACCAGATATTTGTGTAACATATGTAACAGGGGTCTGAATCTGCTATTTTGTTCACAGAGCTAAGCTAAACATTACAATAAAAAACAATATGCCTGTTCCAACTATTGTGCAAAAAGCAAAGGGCTGTATATTTAGCACTTAGAGAATTTAATCTCTATAACCTCTTAACTATTTCCACACTAGCAGCAATGTTACAATTTCTTGCATCGCATTATATTCCATGTAAATATCCAAACGCCAAGGCTGGCAACCTGCGGCCCAACCTAAGAGAGGGACAGAGAGATTCAGTTCAGCCTACGAAAGTGCAGGGCACCACCTTAGAAGGGGTGCACCCTCCTGCTAAGCACCTACCCAGCTGGGGTATAGCTCACCCACTCTCCTTCTCCCTGCATCGTGCAGTCCTCTGTCCCTGAATTCTCTCCCCACAGCCCTTTTGTATTACTCCAGCCTTGCCTGTTCTGTGCTGAGGGCTGCTCTTTTGTTCTCATGCTCCCTCATCCTTGCTGCTTAATTCATCATTGCCCATTGCTGGGGATGGGAATCGATGGCGCTCGGTGGCAATGCAAGTGTTGCCTAAGCCGGGGCTGATTGAAAAATGTCTAAGTACATCAGGAGATGGCCTTTGAAGAGAGAATACACCTGGCATCAATATTGTTGCATCCAGTGTGTTCACTAAAATGTTCTCACTCTCACTAAGCCAATTCCATGTACAGGAAGTACATTTACACACAGGAAAATGCACAAAAGTAAAGATGAATTCAGGTGAGACTTTAAAATGCATTGAATCCATGGAGGATTATTCTCGCTCAGAAGTAAAGTGATCTTCATTCACTTTAGCATAATCAGAGGTGTTAATTTGACTGATCTTATTTCACTTTGAAACTGATAGGAACCAAATTGAAATAAGGCTACTTTATTTCTGAAGTGTATCCACATAGGATTTTAATGCAATGTAATTCCTCCTTAAAATAGTTATTCAGAATAATTGCCTTAGGTGGCCAATGTAGACAAGTCCTAAGTATAAATGACAATGAGGATATTTGTTCTTGGCTATTTATGCATGTAACAATACTCTTCCGTGACCCTTCTCCTGACAGTTGGCTCTTGGCTTCTTAGTAGGCGCTGATATGTCACTGCTGTTCAGCTTTGGTTCACTTGTACATGTTCCAATGACTCTGAAGCTTTGGGCTGTTCCAGACACCAGTCTTGCAGTTGTGTAACTAGGGAATCTCCAGCCCTGTTGCTGGTTAACTGGATTTTGGAACAGCCTAAAGGGAGCATGTGCATGGGAGATTGTGCACACTGTTGTGTCTGGCCAAAGTTGTTTTTTTTTTTTACATCTGATACAGTTGCCTAACAGTTTGGAAACCCATGTTCTGTTTAACAATTTGCTGATTTTAGCATGAAGCCAAAAGAATGAGAGGAGTGGGTGGGTGTGGCTGTTTTCACTTCTTAGTGTGGATCTTGAAAATGTCTGGAGGCCGCAGGCAAACTTTACTTGCATTGTTCAGCAAAGTAGCAAGCTAAATAGTACTTCGTAGTAATACTAAGATCTTGAAGGTGTAGTGGACCTGATGTGAGGAGCTCTCTCTGTACTGTGGTTTTATGGAAGCAGGCGCTGACATGAGACGCAGATCAAGTGGCAGAGAGGAAGAGGATGAGGAGCTACAGAGACGTCGACAGCTACAGGAGGAGCAGCTCATGAAGGTTGTTAATGACCCCGTCTTAAATATTTTGTCAGAGTCTTCAATAGCCTCTGGAATGGACAATGATATTTTCATTACATATATATTTTCTCTTCTCATTTATAGCTCAACTCGGGGCTGGGACAGTTAATATTAAAAGAAGAAATGGAAAAGGAGACCCGTGATAGGCCATCCCTTTCTGCCAGTCGTTATGACTCTCCAGTGAATTCATGTAAGCAGCAAAACTGAAATCTAGCTGTAAATGGCTGTCAGTGGTCTGTTGTGGCCTGGGCGATGTATACCTGGATATTGCTTTAAGTCCTAAAAACCCTTTGGCTTCTTAAACTTAAGAGAAATGTCAAGTTGAGGACATTAGAAGAAATTTCTTGGAGTATTGGCCACCTATACATAGTGAGTGATGCAAAGCCAAGGAATTGGAACTGTTGCAAACTATTAAATTACAACAGACTAAACATCCACCTTGCCTAACCTTGATCTTAGCCTTTTAGCCTTTCCCACATGATAGGAGGAAATCAGCAGTGTCTTTAGGGGCAGGGCAGCACCTGACAGAGCACAGCAAGTCCTTGTCAGTCTTCTCAGCTAGCATCTTAGTTGGACATACAGCATTCCAGACAAAAGGCAAAAGTATCATCTCCACTTAGCTGGTGGCTTACAGGGAAGTCAACAGTGCAGCCAAAAGTGAATCATCCATAGTGCTTTTTTTGTTGTTAATCCTTAATACATCTCTGTAGCCTTCCCAGAACTCTGAGGATTACCCTTTGTGGGTTTCTGTCTCTCTTCACCCTCAGGACTTTGCAGCTCAACATCTGCAGCTCAATATCTTGCTTCAGGCCAAGAAAGAGCGAGAACAACTCTCGGTGGAGTTTGGCATTGTCATTACTGAGTCATCCAAAGGGATGGCTGCAAGCAAAATGAGATTCTCTCATTTTTCTCAGGCAGTGTGTTCTGTCTCTGCAGCTCTTCCAGCCCCACTCTGTTATGAGGGAGAGAAGAGCCAGCCTTGGACTTAAAACCCCTCTGTCACCTTTCTGAGAGCTGGAGTCTCTCCAGTAATGTCAGGACTTATGAATGTTCATTAATGATACACCTGGCAGGAATGCCACCTTAGCGCCAGCCATGCCATGCCTTTCTGCACAGTTACATTAGTGCCAATCCACAGCACCTCTTCCTCATGGGAATTGCGGCTCAAACTCATTCATGCTCTTTTTTCAAAGCCCCTTATCTTCTCATGTTCCTCATGTCCTTCGTCCCATGTCACCTGTGCCAAAATACGTTGTCTTGACCTGGAGACTACAAGGGCAACAAATCTAGTTGAAAGAATATGTCCAGGAGCGTGAGAAGGAACGCTCCTTGTGCAAAGGGGAAAAAAGAGGTTTAATTGTGGAAAATGAGTAACACCATCAACTGTGGAAATGCAGCTGTAACACCATAATAGTCTTTAGTAGTAGCTACGAGTATGCATAGCCAGAATTACACAGTTACAACTGAAAGTCATAAAAATGCCTTTATGCCTCTGCATTTTATGGTGTCAGCTAGAATATTAGGCAGAAGCTCCACGAAACAACAAGGCAGCCTAGTTCCTTGCTGTTTCACGCCACTCCTAATCAGGTAAGTTACCGTTATGCAATTTTGAGATAACTTTGGATCTGAAGGTTTGATCACACCAAACCCCAAACCTATTGAGATTCAACCATTTCTATTCACTTGGATCTTGATCCTGATTAAATGAATGGCAAAACCTCAGAGTGCAGCGGTGTAGGACCAAGCTCAAGTTTTTTTTCCTCCTTTTGTGATATTACAATTGAGGAAGAAGGCTGAGGAATCAAACTGCAAAGTGTGCTAGGTTTCCCGGTCTCCATTTCAAATTTGCTTAAGCTTCAGTTTCAGCTGGGAGTTTCATGATTGTTGTGACAGTTGCGATAAAGAGAATATAGAGATGAAACTCATTAGATTTCAGGGGACGTGACAAGACACTACAAGCCGTTGTACTATGTGAGGAATTGCCTGTGGCAGTTTAACATGGACCCACCCAGTCCAGCAATATTAAGTGCATTTTCCTGCCCTTTATTGCTGTTTTAATCACATGAAGCTGCACAAATGATGTAAGCAATAACTAGGCCAGTGGTCCTCAACCTTGGTAGATTCAAGGCACCCCTCAGAAAATGCCAGCTCTTAGCTTTCATTGGTTTTTTGACTACAAGAAAATAATAGAGCAGTTCTTCTGTTGCAAATGAACTCGGAAAGACCACCACGGGGCAGAATGTTTTTGACTCCTATTTGAAATCTCTGGGTGAATCATTTAGGTGTCTGCACACCTAACAGTACTAATACTGTATGGTACCCTTTAAAGGATTTCATGGCACCCCAAGGTGCTGCAGCACCCTGTTTGAGACTCACTGAGCTAAGCAAGCCTTGATTTCTTGCCAAATTCTGACCTATGCAGAGGGGTCCTGATTTTACTTGAAGACTCCCTGTCAAAACAGTTGGAGACTTGCTTGAATTTTCCATGCTGCAGCTATTCAACTCAGTGCCACTCCCTGATCATCTCCTTTCATGATGCACCAAATGATATATGACCTTAGGGAACAGTTTTGGGGTCATAACCCTTTAATGTGGTCATTGACCTATGGGGCACAGATAAGGACATGTTGATTGGTTGTATACATCTTTGGCTCTGTCAGTCATGTTTGTAGACTTTGGTCGCTAAAGACCCTAATTGATTCTCACAGTGTTCAGATTTAACTTTTCCAGCGCATTTGTAATGTTCTAATAAGAGATTTTTCTCCTCTCGATTCCACAGCACATGCTGCAGCCTCCAAGACCTCCTCTCTTCCTGGCTATGGAAGAAATGGACTGCACAGGGTAAGATGCCAGCAGTGGGGAGAAGCAGAAATTGGCATTAATGTACAGTCTAGAGAATTTTTTTTCTTCTTGATGCCATATCATTTCTTTAAATTTGACCGGTCTCATTTATTAAATCTTGCATAAGTAAAACAACTCTCATCTTTCCTTCCCACAAGTGGATTCTGTCAGAGATTGTGTAAACTGCAAACAAAACCTGTAAGCACAAATAGTACAAATCTAAAGCAAGTTGTTATGCAAGAAAAAAGTGGCATGCTCACAAAACATGGCTAGGGACCTACTCAAATAGCAATTTCGTGATTTTTACGGAAACCGTGAAAGACAGCTGTTTCCTCAATTTTGTACAGAATCATCAGGAAAGAAAAACTTAATAAAAATAAAATGCTGGTTTCCCAATGGGATCAGCCCATGAAATTGCCTGTCTGCTGCCTCAATTTTGGTAGTTCCCTAAACATGACCTGTGTACCCACACCTCTGTCTCTGCTTTCCTGTCACAGCCGGTGTCTACAGATTTTGGTCAGTACAACAGCTATGGTGACGTGAGCGGTGGTGGTCGAGGTAAGGTGAAGGCATTTTTTCATACACTGCTTCTGTCCCTGAGTGTGCCGTGATGCTCATGTTGGTTTCTACTCTTCCATTTGAAGAGTATAGACATGGCTGGTCTTGGGCCTGTTCACAGCACTTTACCCCGGCTGCACTTTTTAAGCTAGTATTTTTGTTTGATCTTCCTTATAGTTCTTATTCTCATTTATAGCAAGGCATGGATCTGGCACTAGTGTAAATGGAGTTAGGCCATATGGATGCACTCAAGGATGTGCACAGTTCTGCTTTCCTCTTGTTACTTATTCACAAATGATAAACCCTAGACATTCTGGTCTGAAAGGCCGTGAGCTCGGCAGTTAGGTGCCAGGTAAACTAAGGAGCGCTAAGCCCAGCTCTGCCTCTGGCTTGTTATGCGACTTAGCTAAGTAATGCATTTTGTCCAGTGTCTCATTTTCCCTTTTTGGCATGGTAAGCATGCAAATAGTTATATTCAGGCAAAAAAGAGGCTTTATTTCTGCTGGGAGCAGCATGCAATGTATAAGTCGCAAGGTCGTTTTGCAGAGCACTTTCTGATCTGCTACTGAGATATGCAGTCTCATTTTTTGAGTGTACAAGTGCATCTGGGATTTGACTGGGCTGTTTTAAAAATGAAACCAACTGTGTAAAAGCAACATTCTTCTTTCAGGTTCATTCCTAAAACTCAGGGTTGTAAGGTATTAAGATTGCATATATGGGTTCTGAGTCTGATCTCCCCTTTCCTGGTTTTATTCAGGACTCCATCATAACCAGTAACCCTCCTGACAGCAAGATAAGGGCTGTTCATAAGTACCAATCACATGTAGTACTTCCAGCTTACGTTAGAGGTTGTACTGGTTCTGGTAATACAGATGCCCAAGCCCAGAGTGACAAAAGACGTCAAGAGAGGAGTGAGCCTTCTCTAAGGGAGGAGAAATGCTTTACAACCTTTAAAACATATTTGAACGTCCACTTTTGTGGGCCACCCAAGTGGCTTTGAACCTAGGGCTGCCACGTGACATCCCTCACTCCTTAAATTTGCAGCTATCAAGGCTCTCCTAGCAGTACTGGAGATTAGATTTGTCTCTTTCCTAGAATTACCTTTTTGGGCCAGGAACAGAGTCCCATACAATCCTCCTCAGCCAAGGGAAGCTGCTTTAATCTGGGGAATTGAGAGGGGGAAGCGGAAATGAGCGTTTTTTTTCTGCTTTTCATTTATGATTTTACCTTCCCTTGCAAATGGGTGCGTGGAAAATAAAGTGATTAATTTTGAATAAAGTTTGTGTTCACATGTGTTTAAAGCCTGATAGTTACTCATGTGTCACCTGGCTTAGAGGCCCTGGTTGACTCATTGCATCTTCTTTTGAGGAGGAGATAATGAGGTTATTCTGCTGCTTGCATAGGACTGCTAACTCGCTTGGCCAGTGTGCAGTACAGCACTCCAGAAAACATCATACCATACGCTGCTGGTAACTCTCTGTCTACAAGCTCCCCTTGAACTGCGCTCCTCCAGAGGTGGTACAAGAGGCCTCCCCACATGTTTCCGTGATGCAGGCACTGTTCGATTGTTCTGTAGGTGTTTGTGGCTGGTCGTTGTGGGTGTTGTGATCTGCTCACAAAACACATGATTATATTTGTGGTGTAGGCTTAGACTGGAATATGAACCTAGACCTCTTGACATGAGACAGCTGGATTTGCTCAGCCATCTTATGTTGTTTATTTGGCTTACTCCCCTGATATTTTTCCAAAAGATTTTAAGGTTGATCTTAAGGTCTTAGCACCTGGGATTTCTTAATTTCCTCTCTGGCAAGCAGGGAATCTCTTGTAATAAACTTCAGTGCATTCAAGCAGAAATGATGGCCCTGTGGATGTGAACCACTACTCTAAAGCAGGGGTGCACAGTCCCCAGTCCATGGGCTAGATCCGGTTGTCCAGCCCACAGGAGTCTCCATGGCCCCCTGGTTATGGCCCTGCATGCTGGATTGGGTGTACAAGGCAGCCTGGAGCACAGTCCTGGCACATAGGGCCTAAGGGATAGTGTAGGGCCGCAGAGTCCATCCCCAATGGGTGGGGGCAGCATGGGCCCTGGAGCCCAGTCCCAATGCACAGAGGCAGCACTGGACCCCAGGGCCTGATCCTGGGGGGGAGGTGGGGGGCACGCTGTCACAGCACAGAGTCTGATCCTACCCACAGACCAGCCCTGTACCATTTTTCTGGTAGGCAGAGCCAAAATGGTGAGCATCACTGCTCTAAAGTTTCAGGAGGGCAGGATCCTAATGGACTAGTGTGCACAGATAAAGCCTTTATGAGTTTCCAGTGAGCTAGCCCAGAACTGCAGAGTAGATCCAGTATTTCAGTTTGACCTAATGAATGAGTCACTGAGAAATGAGTCTGCAGGGGTCTCTTCTCTGAGCCTCACCTGGATTAAACAGTAGAAAGCCTGTATTTGTTCCCTTCTTTCTGACTTGCACTGTTGTTTATTATACAAGCCAGAACAAGAATAACTGCTGTGTTTTAATAGACATGATATTACTGGGCATGTGTGCGCACACACACACACATACACGTTATATAAGGACAGAGAAAGAGAGGGAGAGTGTTGCTACAAGGAAGCCAAATGGCAACTTCTGTATATGTAAAAAGCTATAGGAATAGTCCAATGTGTGTACATGCATCAGCATATTAATTGTTATAGACACGATTACATGGTAATACAGCTAGAGGTGGACAGTTTGTCTTAAACATCACAGTTAGTTTAGGGAACACTCTTCCATCTTCCTATGACATTTTCCCACTGCTCTTAAGAGATGGTTTATACTGGTTATTCAACTGTCCAGTATAAGAAGATATTACCCAGTGTACAGCTTAGCAGCTGCATGCTGCAGCGCTGGTGTTAAGGTGCACAACACAAGGACTATAGTTATTTATCTTAGATTTTGCTCTGCAGTGAATTTACTCCCTAGTGGGCATGTCTACATGAAATGTTTACTGTGGAGTTGTGTACTTAGCACTGCAGTAAGCTACTTGGTATCTACAAGTGTGGCCCTGTTAGACCACAAGAAACTAATAAACTCAGCTGCAGATTAGTACTTGTAAATACAGGTATTATCCTGCTGTGGAGTTTTTCTGTGCACAGCAACACACGGGTAGATGCTGACCTGACTGGCTGGGGCATGAGGGTGCTTCAGTGCAGGGGCTACCTGCTGACTAGCCCCACACTGGAGCACCCTTGTGCCTAAGGCAGCCCCTTGCAGCACACTGAGCTGGTTTGGACCAGCCCCGGGCTGCCAGGCTGACACCCCCCGCCCGGTCCCCTGCCAGCCAGACTGCCCAAAACATGCTGTAGTCCCAGGTGCACATGTAAACGTGGTGCGCAGGAGCAGTAAACTCTGGTGTGATATGCACCAGAGCATATTGCCGCACATGAATACATGCCTGTACATGCACCCAGTAAGGACCAAACATGTATCCAGCTGCCTGCCATAGGTGCACCTGATCACTAGGTAGAGGAGGAGACAGTTTACATCAAGCAAACTGCCCCCTATGGATAAAATTGTTGAGGAGACTGGACACAGGACACATTCTGCATACTAAAATTAATGCACATTCTTCAAGGGGTAGCTTTACTCTGAATCGGAGTGATTTCCTCTGTAGTAGGCATGTGTGTCACATGTCCCCTCCACTTTTACTAGGTAATAAAGTCAGTTTGTTGCATAGGAAATGCCTCATGTTTTTGCACTTTTCATTAAATATTTGGAAAATGGCTGAAGACCCTTGGATGAAAAGCCTCATTCAGATTCAGAAAACTGTGGTGCATGATGCCACTGTCTCTTTGCAAGCCAAGACTAGCATTAGGAAGGCTCAGATAGAAACGGGATTGGTCAATTGAGTGGCATAAGGGGCAGAAGGATAGTCAGGTAGTGAGCAGGGTAGAGTTTATCTTAGGAAGAAGGAAGGCCAATGCACAAAGCAGGGATGACTGAACTGTGCTATTGGAAAGAGTTTAGGAGAGGTATGGGTAAGACGAAGGGACCTTCTTTTTAATGTGTAGAGTTATGTTGGGCACAAATCTTTGAATGAAACTGCCCTTTCTTTTTAAAAGAGACCCAACCCTTCTAGAGGCCTGGATCATTTCACCGAACAGGGAAAGATGAGACTTTTGTGATCAGTTCAGATATTTGCTGAACTGGTTTCTCTGTCCTTAATTACAATCTCTCCTTTTAGGAGGTTGTAATTTATCTTGCAAAAGCAGCTTGAGCTGAAAGGTATTAGGAGTCTTTAACCATGTACAGGCCTGAAGGAGGGAAGCGCCAGACTCCTCGTAGCTTCCAATATAAGCACTTTGATACCCCACCCAGAGGCTGTGTCTGTACTACTCATTCAGCAGAGGGAGCTAAACAGTTTTTATCGGAGATTTTCTTTGTCATAATTAATTTTTCAAAAATTCAGATTATTTTAAATGTTGTTATCATTTGAAATTTTAAAATTTTGAGTAGATTGGAATTTTTTTAATGAATCACATTGTTCCAAAATGAGAGTTTTGTGGCCAGTTTAAAACAAGATTTCATAGCTTGGGGATACCTGGAGAAACTGCATTAAAATAAACAATGGTGACCAGTCTGTGTATGGGACAAGCAGCACTGAAGGTGCCAGTAGGAGCCCTTTGATATCTAACTGGTGGGAACTTGCTGTACTTGCAAAAAGAAATAACATTTTGATGATGTATTTTAAATAATAATTTGCACTTGTATTGATGGATATTACTCCAATTGACCTACAAGAAATGTGTGTCTACTATCTGCACCACAGCTCTTGGTATGCTATAGTATAAACATGTAAAACTCCTCTACACAAGAAAATTGTACGGATTCAAGTCATGTGTTTCAGATTGCAGTGATTTAACTGAATCTGTTTTTAAAGCTATGTTGTTAAATTAGCTTTCTTGCTTCCTCATAAAGGGTAAAACCTTCAGCGCCAAGCCCTTTTTTTTTTAAATATTTCTAACTGCTTCGGTAGAAGTTGGATCTGGCCTTTGGAGTCAAGCTCATCCAAAAAAAATTGAATTTCTCCCCAAATGTGGTAGTGCATCAGAGCCAACTACAGTGCTGTCATTTGCACGGCAGGAGGAGACAATTTATGCTTAATTATAAAATAATACAGGACAGGTGACAAAAGTTCCTAATGCCATTTAGGGAATTGCAGCTAACAACCTTCAGACATTTCTACAAAGGATTAATTGGACCAGAGTGATGAACAGTGAGTCGGGGTTTGCTGGAGGCTGCAAAATGATCTCATTTTGCTTAGGATGAGAAACTGATACTTCTGTGGAGTGTGATCAATCCAGGCACCTTTGCTGTCTGATGCTGATGAGATTTTTTTCTTTTTTTCTTTTCAGATTTCCAGGTAGAGTATGGGTTTTCACCACTCAACTGACAGCAGAGCTAAGAACATCCCCTCATACTCAAATCTGAATTTCTGCTACAGGAAAGGGTTTCTTACGACATTTTTGTTTCAGTTTATCTGCATGCTTAAACATAATCAATGAGGTAGCCGTTTATCCACAAGGAACAGGCACAGCTCAGTTACTTCCTGACACAGTCCCAGAACTGGGTGAGGAGGCCCGAACGCCAGTTCTGTGACCAGCATGGTGATGTTAATGGAACGAAAATTATCTCCAGTAATTCCTTTTTGGCATCTTAGCATGGGATTTCCCTCTGCTTGTCTGGTCCCAACCAAAGAGAAGGGTAGACACAGCCCTCTTCATTCTGGGGGTGCCCATCTTAAACAGTAAGCTCTGAATTCGCCCTTTTTGTCCGTGGCTGCCAATGTGGAATTGACCCTCCAGCCAAGAAGGTTGGGAAGTGGTCTTCTGTGATGCCATCACCATCGCTTCCCTGGAAGTAGGTGCTCTGCCCTTCTCCTCCAGGTTCCCACTGAAAGTTGCCAGTGCTTATTTTAATGAATGTCCACACTAGGCAGTTAGGACCCCAGCACAAATGGCCCTCACCTGGGTTGGCATCTAGGCACTACCACAATGCAGATGCTATATAATATTAATAAATAGTTTAAATACACGGACAGATGTATTATGCAGCATATCAAAGACACTGCTTAGCAGCAAGAGGATGATCAAATGTATTTATGTTATCCTCTTGCATTATCCTTGAAGTGTGGTTCTGCTCTGAACAGAAACTGTGTAGAAGTGGCACCTGTTTATACAATAGAGCTGTCTCTATGGGAAGTCATAGTCAAATCCATTGGTTTTAATGACAAAAATTAACTGCTTTGACTTTTGGACATTAACCCAGTGCACTTGCCCTGCCAGTATGTTAGATGCATGCTAGTCTTCGTGGTGCCTCTGCAGCAGAATTAACCATCATACTCCCAATTAAAGGACTAGTCAGGGAGTGCAGAGATGGACTTTGGTGGGAGTTTATTGAGGCCTGAAGTTTCAATCTTTTGTACCTGTACACATCCAAGGAAGGCTTGCGCAGGTGTCAGGAAGAGTATTGTGGAGACGCCGGAGACTCAAATGTAAGGGAAGCTTTGTAATAGGGCTGACAAGGCTGTTCTTTCCATGCAAAATGGAAAGAACCCAGACCGACTTCCAGGTCTAGGTGGAGCTTCCACTGTCAACACTTGGAAGAAGAGACTGTTTACTGGTAAACTGAGCCCATCACAAGCAGTAGTTATTTATGAGGAACAATTACTTAAGCAGAAATGTGTGGTGCCATTTTTTACAGTTGCTTTATCAGAGCAAAGCAACACTGTCCCAGTGACTAATGTATTTGCTATTTTGCTACTGAACAAGGGAATCTTTGAAGCCAAACATCTGGTGAAATTCAGCTGTCTACCTCCAGCACCTTACAGGATAAGACATGTAGGGGATGGCTGTGACATATGTAAGCAGCAAGCTAGTCCAGCAGTTTCAGAGTGTCCCAGAATGGGGTTATGTGGGCTGTGAGTTCAGATTTCAAGCTGCACACCCACAGAAGAAGCATGTGCAGCTTTTGAGGCACAAGAGGTCCTGTCACTCTTTAGGGACTTCTGGTGGGCTATGGACTGGTGTTGAAGGGCTCCACAGAGAGCTGTGTGTGATCCCACATAGCTGACACTACCTTATAGTCCATAAGGGAGGGAAATGTGCTGGGAGCTCCTGCAGTTCACACTGGCAAAATGCTAAGCAATAGTAATGATGGCATTCTGTAGAGCAAAGTTAAACATAAGGACCTAGGGGAGGTTTAAGGGTAAATTCACCTCTGTTTTCATCATTACATGAGTGCCTTTACCCTGTGTGTGTGTGCGTGTGTAACCTGTGTGTCTGATGTGTACCTGTATCCGATGCAGTCCCTCCCGGATGGTCATGTCCCTGGAATGAGAATGGACAGAGGAGTGTCTATGCCTAACATGTTGGAACCAAAGGCAAGTGCAGACATTATTCACTTTCCTTTGAGACAGTGAAGGTTTGACTGTAATGCAGATGAGAGATCATAGAAAATGTCTTGACTCTCTGGTGTTTGCCTTTGCTACACCCCAGTCATTGCTCCTGCTTTTGCCAAACTTCTCCCTCTGCTCTGGTCCTTGGCTTGAGTAGCTATGCCTCCTGTCTGCGCCACGATAGGGCAAGCAGAGCCACAGGCCTTGACATGTCAAAGGCTCTTCTAGAGAGAAACCAAAGATGTTCAAAGTGTTTGAGCCACGCCACATGTAGCTGATCCTCTCTCCAATGTAGCTGCCACCTTCCTAGAACCAAAAGAGTAGAAAACTACTGTGCATAACCCTGGAGACAGACAACTCCAGATGGGCAGTTTCAGCTGTACTGAGGCAGTATCGGCCACAGAGCATTCATGGGCAGGCAACACTAGCAGATTATTAAAGGCATTTAGGGTTGTACACATATATTCTGATGGTTTAGAAAACAAGTCTCATCATCATGACTGCTAGGCCTCTGCTCACTGCATTTCAGATGTCCATGCAGTATAATAAAGTGCAGTTATGCACACGAGGAGTTGATTTTCCTAACTAAGGGTAATGTGCATGTCTGAAGTCCTCCCATTTTAAATAGCAGCTGCATGCAAAAGAGCTGAGTTCTAAGAATCTCTTTGTTCCAATTCCATTTAAATTAGAGAATGAGCCCAGAGGTGAATATGAAAATATTATTTTCAAGAGCAGTTGAGAGACAGTGTCATGGGACTGCAGATGTACTGGACTGCCGTGAGCATGCCACATATAATGAATGATTTGGCCTAGCTACCTGTCTAATTGGCAAAAGCATTGTGTGATCACCAAGAGACTCTCATGTGATCCTTTGGCCTGCATCTACTTATCACACAAACATTTAGACTAATACATCTTCATCAAACCTGGCTTTTCTCAATACAAAAATGAAACACAGCCACTGCAACTGACTGTTTTAGTTACCATGTGTAGATTGCACGCAGCTCATACCATAACGTGGATTTTCTGGTAAAACACAAAGGAAGCAATTATTCTCAGTTTAGGTGTTCTCCTCTTAAAAATTGCAGAAAGAAAACTATTAGCACATAATATGAATCGTAGTTCATATGAAATTAAATGGGAGTTGGGCCCCTCAGTACAGTTCTTCCCAAAAACACGTGGCACCATCCAGAATCAGCTCTGGCCAAAACTGGCACTAGCAATAAGGTCTCAGTAAAAAAAAAGGGCAAAGATTTAAGCAGCTATAAAGGTTGAACTGCACTCCCAGTCCTCCGAGTCATTGGGTGGCTACTTCTCCCAAACTCTGAGGGGAGAGTCTCAGTCTTACTAGGCTTGAGAAGTGAAGCTGTTGGGTTGTGTGTCTCTAGGGAAGCTTGTAATGCTTCTGCCCATGCAGTCCATGTTCTGACAATCAGTAAAACACCTAAACTATCTCTACTGTATGGGCCTGCTGCCTTTTAAGTGTGCAATGGTGCCTGGGCCCCCTGCTATAGACATGGCTCTATTGAGAGAAGAGGTTTTTTGCTGCTACTTACCCAGTTCCTGTGAATGGGAGAGTTTGACTTCTGCTAGAAGAGCTGAATTTAGACTGGAGGTGTTCCCATCATCGCTACATCAGCTACAGATTGTGATCTTTCCACACCCCTGTCTGACACAGTTTTGCCAGCTGAACTTCACAGTGCAGACAAGGGCTTAGTTCTCCAGTGCTGTTATTAGTTCAGGCACTTTTCATCAGCTTTAAGTTTGCTCTTGGATGGGGGAAAAAAGAGATTCTTAGTCCATTGGTTGAGAAAGAGTCATTACTGCACCATATTTCATGATACTCTACCGCTCTGGGTAAATGCATTTGGGACTGGAACAAGCAGTCCATGTTAACGATCAGAGCTGGGCCTGTATTCTCTGCATTCTTCCACTGCTGGCTTGCCTGTTTTTGCTGGTTTTACAACAGTCTTAAGGTTCAGTATTTCTGCTTTTAGGCTGAAGAGCAGCTTTTGTAAACAAAAATTGCTTTTCCTGTTCTCGATGAATTATACCAGAATTTAACCCTAGGTTTAGAAGCTTCGTTATACATGAACATTTAAGTAACCTATATACAATCTAGCTTGGGGCCATTCTCATCTCCTCAGATGCTACTTATCCATTCTAATGATTTCTCAGATGCAATATAATTCCTTACTGCTGCCAGTGCTGTTGCTGGACGTAGTCAACTTATTTAAAATGAATGTTTTAAAAGTTTTTCGGGTAGCAAATTCTGTCATTTTCCTGATGGAAAAAATCTTGCTGATGTAAAACTTTGGGTTTTGTTGACATTTAAAAAGTATGGGCCCAAATATTTGGTTCTGTGAATTGGCCTGGCTCCATTAATTTAAAGTACCTAGAATGTGCCCCAATACCAATGAAGAAACTGGAAAATAAAAATCAGTGCATTTTAGAACATCCAAAACTATCAAAAGGTCCCTCAAAAGGAGGACAGAATTTGTGCATCCTATAGAACCTGGAGTTATGAACAATGCTGTGTTGTGAATTTCTAAATATGAAATATGCTTTTGACCTCACAGCTTGAACTTAAACTTTTCCTGAGGTCACTGTGGTGGTTCTGTTATGACAAGTTATATTTTAGTTTTATCTAATTCTGTATACTGTGGTTTTTTTTAGCATAGAACATGAACAATGTAACTTCTAAGGTATAAAGTAGAACCAAATGTACAATTATAAGAATGGCAAAGTCTATTAAGAACCATATCTTACAAATCAGTATGTAAGTCCACCTTCTTTAAAATATTAATTACAATAAACTCAGTGGTATGTTCACGGATGGCTGAATCTTATTTCTTGTGCCTTTAAAGTTTTTTTTAAATGGTGACAATGGAATAAACATTTTAGTGAAACAATAAAACTCAAATGTTAGCTGTGACGTTTTCCCTTCTCATGGCATTAAGCATATTAAAGACTTATGATGTTTTTGCCTCTGCAATAAAGGGTTGGTGGTCTCGGTCCTGGTCCCATTGGCCAAATATCCAAGTCACTAAAATAACTACTACAACTGGCCATAAAGGCCAACACAGTTTCCTCTGAAGTCTGTAGAAAGACTTGCGTTGACTTTGGAGGTAGCTGGGTCAGGACTTAACCAGGGACCTGTTACCGTGCTCAGTGAACTAACTGTTAGACATTTCATTACTGCACTCATCATCTCTCTGGGTCATTGCAGACACTAAGCATGATTGCAAGGCTGTGATTCAGACACCTTATGTAAAGCACCAAATTGTATGGGTTTCTTTCTCCAGAGTATCATTTAGATTGTGTTAGTTTAATTTGGGAAGAGTTGGCAAAAAAGATGTTACTTCAAGTCTTTTCATTTTAGAAACATGAGATTAAATCTGTCCAAGCAAATAGGGGAAAAAACAGCACAATTGTCCCTAACCTCTGAAATGCATTATGGCCAGACATCTGGTCTGCATAATACCTGGATATTCAGTACAATATAAATAAAAATAGAGAAAACATTTAACAGGCGACTTAATGGATATTTGCCATATTAAAGATCATAAAGACTTGTAATGTAAAAATCTAGCTACAGGAATGTCTGAAGTCCATCAATCTGTGTCAGGGTCAAATTTACTATGGGAACCTGTGTAAGGTCTGTAATAATCTGAAACACATGAAGAAAAGGTACCTGATGAATTTCATTCAATGCAGTCATCCTACATGGTAACTAAACTATTTGTTAAGGCAAACTTTTCTGAGTGTATTTCAAATGGTTGATGTTTGTTTGGTACAATAGATGTATTTTCTTTTTTCCTCATAGATGTACAAGTTATGGCAACCTTCAGACATGCTTATAAATCATTCGTTGTTGCCTTAATGAACTCTGTGTTGACTCATCAAAGGGCACAACGTTGACCAGATATGCAACTATACTTTATGGTTGAAAACAAATGTGTACTATACCTTGCATAACAGATAATAGGAAGTGTGAAGCACAAACCCTCCCCCAAATAGGCCAAAAGTATGCTAAACCTTTAAAATTTGGTACAGTTTGCTTTTGGTATTAAATTAGCTCAAACTAGACTATACTTTCAGGATCTTAAATAAGCTTTTCTTAAGGTTTTTTTAGTTTCCTTTCAAGAATTCTATTTGTGTGGTTATTATAAGAAGAATATATGAATATTCTGTGCTCTAGAATATAAATGTATCTCTTTCCCCCCCTCTTTATACACTGTTAACAGATTTATCCATATGAAGTGCTCATGGTGACCAACAGAGGACGAAATAAAATACTAAGAGACGTGGACAGAACCAGGCTCGAGGTAAGAGAAGTCAATTCCTAAGTAAACTTTCAGCCGAGGTTTCTTGTTGCTCGCTTGAAAGATCAAATGTAGCTGTCTGGGCCCTGGGTTACAGGAAGAAGCCTTCACAGGAATGCCTCACATAGCAATCAGGGGTGTTGGTTGTGGCCGTGCTTGGTCATAAGCAGACATGGATCTTTGGGTAAATCTGATATCTTCTGTTAGACCAACTACAATAGTTGGAAAAATTCTGCTTTGCAAGCTTTCAGGTACAAAGACCCTTCTTCAGGCAGACAAAGCATCTGCAGTTGTTCTGTGCTGTTCCTGGATGGGCTAGAAGCCAGAAACCAGTATGCAAGTAGTATGCACGTAGCAGCCATGATTTGCAAGGAAGAAGGATTGAGGAGGTGGCCAGAAGGGTGCTGAATACAGTCCGTGTTCCAAATCTGCATGTAGGAGTTAGTGTGAACGCACCTTGATGGAGCTGCTCCGATTCGCATCGTGCATTCCCAGTCCATGTTGCATTTGCTTGTTTTACAGCCATCGGACTAACCCTGTCCGGACAGTAGTCTAGCAGGTTCTGCATTGTGTCTCTGGTGGAAGCCAGGCTCAGATGCTTCAGGGACTCCACCATAGGCATTTATGGAATAACCTGCAGAAGTTTCTTGCTAACACTTTTCAATTAGTGGTTGACCCATGTCTAGAAGAAGGAGGGTTGATGTTGCTGCTTCCAAACAACAATTGCTTGTGAATGCGCATGACAGAGATAGTGAGATAGTTGGAGAGATACCCAGATAGTGGGGTGGCTGTTTGTCCATCTTTTTTAAATGCCAAAAATCTATAGGCATAACCCTGCCCTTTATTACATTAGTGCATCTAGAAGACCTTCCCCCCGTTCTCAGCACTTGCTGAGCAAGAAACCTGTCTAGTGCCTAGAAGGAACGGGGGGCTTGGCTCAGGGATATGCAGGGACATCACTCCCTCAAAAGAGGAAGGGAAGCTGAGTTGTTAGGTGCTTTCTCAGGGGTGGGCAGAGGCCAGATCAGGCCCATGGTGGACTCCATTTCCCAGCAGCCCGTGCCCATGTTGCAGCAGCTGGTTTCCAGGGAGCCAGGGCACAGCTGCAATCTGCAAGCAGTGGATCGTGGCTCTGCCCCAGCTCTGGACCATCCTGCCCCGGCCCCGAAGCAGCTTTCTGCCAGCATTGGTGGGGCCAGTTTCCATGGAAACCCTGGCCCCAGGCTGTCGCATCCTCCCCCCCATTTGTGGGGTCTGCATGAAAACTGACCGCAGCGACATGGGCAGGGGCTGCTGGGAAATGGAGTCCAGCCTCTGGCCCAATCCATCATTTTTCCCACCCCTGTGCTTTCTTCTTGTGCAGAACATACTCCCTTGGTGCCACCCATTCATGAACCTGGGGACCTCCTTTCTGGAGACTTTTTAAGCACCTTTAGCCTCAGTTTTTCCCTTTGCAAAATGGGGCTAGTAGAATGGCCCCATGAGGGTTTTTGGAAGTTTAATTGATGGGAACCACAGTGGGGAATGAATGGGACTGGAAGAGAGGAGTCCTGGGCTCTCTTCCCACTTCTACTGATGACCTGGTGGTTAACCTTGAGCAAGTTACAGCCCTTCTCTAATTAAGCCTCATTATGGGATTAATGATATAGCAACCTCATTTGTAAAGTGCCTTGAGATACACTGAGGAAAAGCCATGTGGAAGAGTTGAGGCTTGGTCCATTGGTGATGGATCAGAATTTGGATAACTTTTCTGAGCAAGCGTTGTTATTTCAGTAATGAATGCCCCATGACTATCAAGCCCCTCAGATTATCGCCGGAACTGGCTTGGCCTGTTTTCCAATTTGTCCTCTAGCAACTTCTTAGCTAGAACTGATCCTTGTCTTTTCTTCTTCTCTTCAGCGCCACCTAGCCCCTGAGGTTTTCCAGGAAATATTTGGCATGACGATACAGGAGTTTGACAAGTTACCTCTGTGGAGACGCAACAACATGAAGAAAAAAGCAAAACTCTTTTGAGCTATCCGCATCTGTGTCCCCTTAGCCAACCAACAGCAAATGCGTAGGATAACATGCTGTATAGTCTCAACTCCATCTGGAGAGGAGCCACTCCTGCACAAAAAGGGAAAACCTGATAAGGACACTTGTATTCATAGCGATTGGGCCAACACGAACACTTGCCAGTGGGGGCAGGGGAGAGGAAATTTCTGTGTTCAGAAAACTCGACAGGAGTTTTCACATGTATAAACTTTTTACATGATGTTATATAACACAATAGGAAGCTGCTCTTTTCTCCTCCATGATAAGATTCCCTTTATTTTTTTTGTCTATAATACAATGGATTTAATTGCTAGAGCCAGAAAGTGCCCTTAGGATGCTTAGTAAACTGAAGTAGCTGTAATCTCTCCAATAATTGAAACGATATATCTCTCTCTCTCTCTCTCTCTATATATATATATATATATATATAGAGAGAGAGAGAGAGATGTGTGTGTGTGTATCTATATATATTCTATAGGTAAGGAGAAATCCTGTATATCCATACAATGACAGAAATCTCTTTTTTTTGCACAACTGTTCCTTAATTGGGACTCTTTTCAAATGGCATATTCCTCTTGTGATTCCAACCAGTGAGGCAGGCAGACTGCTCTGTTTTGCTGCATACCAACTGAATTATTGGCAAGCAAACTCCCCGCTTGTCCTTGTATATATTTGCTAGCGTATCAGTAGTGAATTGCTGTGTTTGTTGTCTAATCTTCCCTCCTCCACACTTTCTGCTTCAATTAATGCGGCTTGGGCTTAGCCAGTCATTTAAGTAACGGGAATGGTGGAGAAGTAGCAGGTTTCCTGTTGTGTGGTCTGGGGTTTGGGATGGGAAGAAGTAAAGTGTTTAAAGAAAAAAAGATTCTTCTCAAATATGCCCTGGTTCAACCCCACCAAATATGGGCCAAATTCCCTGCTAGGAAAAATAACTTCCAGGGAGTTGAAGTGATTGATACCAGCAGAGAATTTGAATCCTGTGCAAGCAGATGCAATTTAACTGCTCTTGTGTGAAAAGATGCAATCTTGCAGCATCTTGTGCCGACATAGATTTTTAGTTAAACCACTGCTGCAGTTGCAGACACGGATGTAGCTGCGCCATAGATGAAGTTAAGTACTTTCTTTTTGGGTTCTAACAGAATTTCACTTGTGCTTTAAAAGGAGGGTTTGAAATTTTTCTTTCTTTCTTTTGATGCTACAAAGCTTCAGCCTTGGTTATTTATATTTTTATTTTCCTTTTCCTTTGTGCTTGGCATGGTTTGCAGAAGGGCAAAGGATGGTTGACCAAGTTATACTCATATAGCTTGCAGGTTTTTCCCACTGTGCTGCAGTCTGTATATAACTGAATGGCTTGGAGAGCAGGCTGTATCCACAGGAGGACGCGAGTACCACATTGATCTATCTCCCTGAATGAATGCTTGGCCGCTGAAAGCTCAGCTGCTTCTCTTCCTCGGTGCTTAACTGCCAGTGTATAAATGTATTGATTGGTCTCTTGTTTGCTTATGGGCGATTTCCTTTTAGGTCCAGTGCAAGTCTGGTGAGACATATCAAGGTTTCACTTTTAGGGTTAAGATGTTCATTGTGGGAGACACCAAACACCTGTGTATTTTCTGTTGCTGGAGACAGGAGAAGGCAGTGACCAAGTCTTCCAGATGCTGTAGGAGCTGAGAGATTTGGTATCATTGCACTGAGTTCCCCCACACTGCCTTTAGTCACTTCTGCTGCAGCAGGGCAGTGGGCTGATCCTTTTCCACTTCCAGGATAGACCAAATCCTGCTTCCTCTTGCCCAGGACACGCTAATGCCACAGCATCAGTGCTGTCCCACTGAAGCAGTCTGGGCTTGAGGGTTCAGTATTTGGGGAGACTGTGTCTCAAGGGGTTCACCTATCATGCATGCTTAGGTTAAGGAAATAGTGGAAAGCAGTGGGTGAGCTGGTGGGGGTGCTGCTATACAGACCTAGTAGACATTACCTTCATGGAATAAGTGTGCAGAAGCTTTTAGCAGACACTGGGACATTAGCCCAAATTGATCCCTGAGGTAACTCCACTGACTGCTGGGGTTTCAGCAAGGATCAGTTCAGCATGTTTTATCCCATATTACAGAACAAGTATAATAAGTATTTCCAGATTAGTTTGTCAGATTAGTGGGAGTGTTATGGACACTGCAAGATCAGATGCAAACTGGGATTACCAGGAAAAGGAGCAAATAGCTCGTGATTTGGAGTTTAGTTGGGTGGGATTTCTGGAAATGTGGTGTTTATTGCTGGCAGATTTCAAGATTCGTGAGAGGTTGGGGGGGGTCACTTCCCAAAATATGTTAGACCCCACATAACAGTGGGGAGGTGCATGTGAGCAACATATTATAAGATCAGGGTGTTGGACATAGGAATAAATTAACCATGTGTTAAAATGGGACAGGGTTTTCCATTCATCTGCTTCTCTACAAACCTGGCGAGGTGCACACTCCTATTCCATGGTAAGTGGAAGCTAAGTAACTCCTCTTTCGGTGAGGACTAAGCCAGTATTTCCCAACCCTTTCCAGTCCAAGGCACACTTACATTAATAAAAATTTTCCACGGCACTCCTGTTAAGGCATTCCCCACCCTCATACCTATTGTAGCTCATTGCCATGGCAAAATTGCACAGCACACCTGTTCATTTCTGACGGCCCATCTTTGTGCTGCAGCACACTGGTTAGGAAACACTGGACTAAGTTACCACAACTTCTGCTTAGCACAGGGCAGGAATGTGCACATGGCTGTTACCACTGAGCACCTGATGTGAAGCCCACTCCTTTTGGCACCGTGCTAAGTTCTTCTGCTGTCCTTGCCCTCAGTCATCTTCCCACTTTTACTTTTCACTTCAGGCTGCATTGCTTAGCATTCCTCTGAGGCCACTCTTCCCCCTTCAAGCTGCAATCCTCTTCTTAGAAAAACATAAAAGGCTCAGACAGAAGTGACAATTTTTGCCTAATCTGATCGCATGAGGGTTCAGATGAAGACACTGCAAAATGGAGTGCCTTCAATAACTTGTACCTGTGCATGCTGGGCTGACATAGCCCAGCCCTGCTCCCAGCGCTGTTTTCAGGCGGGGGGGGTGGAGCAGAGTTTGGTTTGCGGTTTTTTAAGCTGAGGTGGGGAGGCTCCAATTCACCTGCCTCACCCTCCACCACCAGCTGGACAACTCCCAGAATGAGCTCCCTCTGCTCCCTTTTCCCCCTCGCATTCTGCAAACAGCGCTGGGGCTAGAAGTGGGGTAGGATGTTGCTAGGGGAGAGTGGCTGCAGGCTCACAGCTGCTCCAAACAGCAGCTTAATTCTCCAAACCCCAGAACCCAACAGCAAACGTCTGCTGGGTCCAAGGGATCATTGTAACTCATGGCACTTCCTGCATAGCGCCACGAGTTACAATGGGGAGCTGCTCTTCTGCCTGCATCTGAAGAGAAGCTTAAGTGGGAAAGACGTGTACAGAACAGAAGAGGGCAGTGGAGAAGCTGCTATAATTGTCCTTCGAAGTCACAGCTTGCCCACTCAGTGACAGTGGTGAATTTTGGTGCTTGAGGGTCTGACATGCTCCAAGACCCAGAAATACATCACTGAGGAGGCTGCAGGCTTGTCCACCCTTTGCCACCTTCAAGCATGCCAAAGACTGAGCAGGGAAGAGCAGGCTTAGAGGGACACCTCCCAGCATCTTCTCCAGTAAACATCCAGCTGTGGTGCTGCTTATGGGCAAGGGTGGATGGGTTGTAGGCAGGGCATACTTGAGCCTGTCTGGGCTAGGACTTGCTGCCACTGCCACCCTTAGTTTTTCCACTACCCAGAGCATGCCTACAGGATGGGACTTATGGGAGTTGAAGGGAAAGGTGTAGAGGCAAAGTCACAGTAAACTCTGGCATGAGTACAATACAAAGGGGCCTTATGTTACTGTAGCTACACCTTGCACTACAGCAACCCAAGTCTGCTTCAGCTCTGAATGAGAGCATCTACACAAGGATTTCAAGTGCTTTACCGTCACTTCTTTGGTTAACTCATTTAACTTTCCTGACTGTCCTCCTATTGACAAGCCTTCAGAGACCCCTTGCCTTCAAGAAGCAGGGCTGTAGTCACAGAGCACATCTTTTCTCTGGCAAGCAGTGAGTGTTTCAAGCTTTTCTGCTGCAGAAGGAAAGTACCCTCTGCCTGATAAACACAGAAACATGGCCCCAGGGAAAACATCCTTTGTCATTTGGTGAGTCATTTCCCTAGCACCATTCCAGTGTTGCTTCACTTTTGTGCAACTCCACTAGATATGGGTAAAATCACTTCTTCCTCCAACTTTCCCTTAAGATCTGCTGCTGTTAAATTTGTGTGACTTCCATGGCGTAGAATAAGAGTTGTACAGAGCTTTGTATTAAGTCCCAGAACGTGTAAAACATTTCAGTTCATGTTTCACATTAAGCACATGCTGAAGTCTCTCTCTCTCTCCTGCAAAGCATTTAAGCATGTGCTTAAATCCCATTAAAGCCATTGCCATGACCAGTCAGTCATTGTAAAAGGCCTTTAAACCAGTTGCATCTCACTTTTTTATCATGTGGTTAATTTGATAAGAATGACGGTATGGTCATGGCAAAACATCAAGACGGACACCTAAGATGCAATTTCAAAATTCCCACCAGTGTATGCAAAGCAGGTGGTTTTGCTTTTTCCTCTTGCTAGTATGTACCTTAGACTTACCAAAGAAAGATAAGTGATCAATAGGGGGCAAATACCAACTCATATAATTTCTTATTTGCATATCCACATGTATTTTCCGTCATGCAGTTGTCTGAATGCTCCAATCGTCATGTGTTTTGAGTGCTTAAATACAGAGTCGCAGTGCAAAATGTATTAATGTATTAATTGGTGCGAAATTTGGCCAGGGGCAAAATGTTACTTAGAGGGACACTTGCATCATTGTTTATTCACAGAGGAATGCTATGTATATCTTGGCAATGTTCTTTAACCTAGTTGGACCCAGAAATTTGGCGTTTTGTCCTTTCAACAGTCAACTAAAGGGTAGAAAAATATCAGGAGAATTTTCATAGAAACAATTAGTTGTATATTGGAAGAGGAAGAGATGGCCGGTCCGGTCTCCTTCCTTTAAATTGCTCCTTCTTCCTTCCCCACAAGCTAAAACTTGAAAGTCTGTATGATATCAGTGTAAATGCGCTCTTTGCACTGGGTCTTTTCTGCAGACAGTAGAATTAAGCCAGTAGTTAGAAGATTGGATCTGCAAGTTATAT